TAAGTATTTTACTTTTTGTTATTTGAATTTTTAATTGTTAACGAATATTCCTCACTCGTGAGAAGAACAAAGTGAAAGAGTCTTTGTTATTGTTATTACTAATTATCTTACCTCAGTTCTAGAAAGCATTACGCTAGTATAGAATTCCCCTTCAAATCTCCTTTATTATTTTTTTATTCTCTCTCCCCTTTCGACCTTTACTCTCCCACAACTCTCCCATATCATTATTTCTTTTCAAGTAAAAACAATTTCCGTAGAAATTGGCATAGGCCTTAGATACCCCTATTTTCTTTTTAATATTTTCTTTATCAGTTTATATCCTCTCCCAATCCAGGTTCTCATTTGTAAGCTAATTTAACGATTAGTGAACAAACTTGTAACAATATATATATAAATATAACTTAATTTAATCTTTAAATAATTCTAACAAAATATATAATAGTTTAATATTTTTTTATCAAAGTTGAACTTATAACTTTAGAAATAATTTACAAGAATTTCAAGTTAAAAAAATTTCTTTTATATTTAAAGGAATAAGCTAAAAAAATAAGATTTTTATATAATTAAAGATTAGATATATTAGAAAAAAGATGTTATTTGAAAATAAATAAATATATATATAAAAAATTAGAGCTATGATTTAAATTCAAACAAGATACTAGTTCAAAAAGAACTTGATATTTTTTTGATTAATATTTCATATTCAAAAATTAAAATTCTAAATTTTAGTATTTATTAATAAAGTTACAAAGAAATATAATTATAAATTAAATAAAACAATTATAAATTTAAAGAATTAAGAAAATTTATAAGCAAAATGATGAAAAATATTAATTTATAATTATATTATGCAAATTTGATATAATTATTCAAAGAAAATTTTTTGAAAACAAATTTTTATCATGTTCTATTTATTTAAAAATCTTTATATTGTGATAAATAAATTTTATCTAATATAAAAATTTTTATTAAATAATATATAATACAGATTTCAGATTGACTTAATTAACAAAAAGAATTTAACTCTTAGTAATTTATATTATAAGAATGAGATAATAATTATACTCTAACTTATTTTATTATAAATAATATTAAAACAAATTGAGAATTAAATATAGTATTTTAATTGTATTCTTAATAATATTATTCACAAAATTAACTATTATAAAATAAAATTATTATTATTTATAGATTTAATAATAATTAATATAATATTTTATTTGCTCAAGATCTTTTAGTAAATAAAAATCTTGAATTATATATCTAAATATTTAATTAAATAATAAAAGTAACTAATGTATATATTTATTAATACTAATTTAGTAATAAATTTTGCTATTTATCAAATATTTATTTTTATATATCTTATATTATATTATTTATAATCTATACCTTAAAAAGTCTTAAATAAAGAATATCAAAAATTTCTTGATGAATTTTATCTTTATTATAATAGCTTTATTGAAAATAATTTTTAATAAAAATTTAATAAGCTTATATATAACTATCTAAATATTCAAAATTTTTTTATAAATCAAAGATAACTTGAATATATTGCTTATTAAATTTAGATTTATAAATAAATTAATAGCAATTTCTTGTATAAAATTTATAAATGCATGTTTGAAATATTTTGTTATATAATTTTATTGACAAAATTTACAAATTTTTTGATCTATAAGATAAAAAAAATAAGTACAAGTTTTGTAATTATTAATTTTTATTATATCAATCAAAATAAAATGAATTTTTATTTACTAAAATTAATTAATATCTTTAACAATATCTTATAGCTTTTTTATTAAGCTGCATTATAATAAAATAAATTAGTTTTATATTAGATAGCAATTTCTATTACTTAGTAAAATACAAAAAGTATAAATAAATAAATAATTAATTTATTAGAGAATGAAGTTAGGAATAGAATAGTATTAGAGTTAGAATATGATTTAGAGTTGAAATATAAATTAGAATTATAATGTGATTTAGTAAGTTAGATTAATTTTATATATAACTAACAAAATTGTGATTTATTTATTATATAGAGATTTTTCAAAATATTATTAATACATTTTAAAATACAAATCAATAAAAAACAAGCTTAATGATTCTAAGTTAATGAATTATTAAAATATATTGTATATTATATCAAAATTACAAGTTATTTCATTAACTAAATTAAAAAAATATATATAAATATAAAAAATAAAATTAGTATCAAACCAAAAATTTACGTGAAAAAAATATTCTAATTTATAAAGATACAAATATTTTTATTTATAGTAAATCAAATTAAATAATTTTATACCAGATTTATTAAGTCAAGACATATCTAATAATATTAAAATCATATAATTTGGATCACTAGATATAAATATATAATATCTCAAAAATATCATACAAAAATTGGAATAAAAAAATATTTTATAGAAAATTTTAAAAAAAATCATTATTGCAAATATCTCTATATTTAGTGAACCAAATTGAATAATTTTAATATTATTAAATTCACTTAAACAAAATGAAACCAATAATATCAAAATTATCTAATTTGATTAATTGGATATGGAGATATTTATAAAAAACTATTTTCTTCAAAAAATTTTATTTCAGTTTGGTATATTATCTTTGAAATGTGATATTTCTATATCTAGTAATTCAAATTGAATGATTTTGATATTATTAGATACACTTTAACTCTAAGAATTTGTAAATTTACTAGATACAAAGTTATTTGTATTCTTGTAAAATAATATTTTTCACATAAATTTCAGTTTGATACTAAATTTTATTTTATATATATTTTTTGAACTAGTTATTGAAATTACTTAAAATTTTGATATAATATACAATATGTTTTAATAATTCTATTAGTTTAGAATTATAAATTTTGTTTTTTATTGGTTTTTGCATTATTGTATTTTAAAGAGTGTCTACAATATTCTGGGAGGCCTCTGTAGAATCAAATCATATTTGCAAATGATATATTTATTAATATCCCACAAGTTATATTGAAATGAATAATCAAATTTGTTGATTCTTCTAATATTAAGGAAATTAGAGCTATAAGTATTGGAAACTTATTACAAATTCGAGAACATATCTGTTTTGTCTTTCTATTATTTAATGTGAGATTGTTTGTAAATACTATTTTCAGGTAATATTAGCCATGAGAAATATTTACTTTCATATAAGATTAATTCTAGCATGATAATATAATGAGAATAGAAACAGTTCAAAAGAGCTATTTTTGCTAACAGATAAATATATGCAAGATAATCAAACTGTAATACATGATTCAAATGGTATAATGACATATTTTTGATCAGGATTATAAAGACTTTCGTAAAGAAAGTCTAACTGTTCTTGAACAAAGATTGTTATTAGAAAATTGTATAATATATATAAGAAAACTCAGTTTAATTCAAGAATTTGCTGAAGAAAATATTAATAAACAGTCTGATTCAGATAAAATTTTACAAGTCAACAATATTATAATAAAGAAAATAATGATTCTGTAATACCTTAGTTAAGAAATCCAAAAAAATGTTATGAAAAGGGATGACTGCTGGGTACTAAAAGATTTAAATCATCACATGAGAGTTACAAACCAAAAATAACACATCAACGTCAATGTAAGAAGTGTGAAAATATAGGCCATTACAAAAAAAAATTGCAAGGTATGTATGCTCACCTATTAATGTTATTAATGTAATCATATGTGTTTTATACTTGCTAATATATTGTATCTAATCATCGAATTAGGAAGCAATAAAAATTATCTATGTAATGATAAGAGATGTAGTTTAGAAAATGAATTATACATGTATAAGATACTGCAGACAAGTTGCTTTCGGAGAAATATATATAATTCTGTATTTATTACATAAATACTTTAATTGCTTATCGTTATATAATTTATATATATTATGTACTTGTATATATCACGTAATTTTTCGAAACTGGCGTTATATCGCCATGGCGACAAATTACAAAATACTTATTTGTATTGTATATAATATATCGTTATTATCTATCTAATTGGACTTGGATTTTAAAATACACGTAGAATTTTCTATACACAATACCCCCAAATATAATACCCAGTTTTATACATAGTACATGTACTATTCAATTTTTTGAATATGTCCCTGTATATTATATACAAAGCTAACTGGTATGCGGCAGTTATTCGTGTTTAAATTGCATCTTGACTAGTTGCCATGTAATTCGATCTTCTTAGTTTCTGACAGTGTATTATACCAAGATATAGTCGACAAATAACAGTATTTACTAAGACTAATGCACTGGTACATAACGAAATCAATAGAATAATGTCGTATTCGACAACAGTTTGCCAATAGTAAATCTAGACAATAAACATCCAAACATTAAAAATCAAATTTAATGAATTTATTAATTATATTTTATTCAATTACCCGTATAATAAACTGCGGAATATCCTCAATGAACAAATTGAATGTGCTCGTTATAAATAGAATGGTCTCAGCATGTTCGGAAAACGTAGCAGAAAAAATTTTCAGGCCTGCCACTTGAGAAGTAAGTACATGCAATATATCGACATCGCTACTGGCAATCAGAGTTGAGGCTGCAGCGACTTGTGGATACTTTCGGAACCAGGAATTAAATTTGTCGTTTCGTGAATTTTCTGATAGCATTACGTAGAAAGCGACGGCGCAATTCATGACGATTGGAATTATTAGTGTGAGTAAACTATAGCGATAAGTAAATGTTTTGTTAGTAATGAAGAAAAATTGAGAATTATGCTTATAATAATAAAGATTTCAAACCTGATAATAAAAAGTTTTGGTACATCTTTACCATTAAAGATTACAAATGCGAAATCGAAAACAATATCTTGGAGAATCAATGCACAAGTAACAATAACGATATTTCGGCCCTATTGATGAGAAATTTTCCAAAAAAGAATTTCGCGCATAAAAATATCATAACAATTATCAAAAATGTAATAGAAAGATTGAAACTGTAACTTACTTTTTTATTCTTACGTCGAGCTAAGAAAAACACAATAGCAATCAAGAAAATGACAGCAATAGCTATAAGAAACGCAAGCTTGTATTTTTCCAATAAATCGACTTACATAAAAGAATTCATTAAATTAATATTAACTTACTATAAATATGAAATTCAATAATTGGAAAATATTATTTACTTGATTCCTGGAACCCATAACTACTGTCCAACCACTCGGTATAATTATATTTTGAAATAGACGTGATATCCTTGTATTTTATAAGAGTCTTTAAATTGCTCATAACCTGTTGGACGCTATTTTCGGAATTATTTTCTGAAGGTAGAATAATTATTCGAAAAAGAATTTGATCACCGTCGAATTGGTATTTTTTCTTTATTTCGACTCTTTTGCTTGAGATTGGTATAACATTTGCGAGTACATTCGATATATCTTCATATATGAAAGAACCACTCTTTAATGAGTTTTTGAATGCTATTGAACCCTCAGTCGTCAATCGAATTATTCCTGATTTTCTACCTATTATTGAATATTTAAATATCAGTAATTAATTTATTCATCATTAATCAGATAATAATTTTATAAAATAAATACCTCTATCACTTGAGCCAGCTTTAAATGGTTCTAAATGGGAAATTCAAGAGATTTGTTTATATACTACATGTTATAAATTAGAGACAAAAAAACAATAAAATATATTTACCAGTAGTAAATCGCCAACTTTCTTTACCCATTCCAAATAATGTTTCACCTGTATCAGAATCTTGAACGAAATCCGTGTCAATAATCACATAATAAGTAGCATTTGGGACATTAAAAGTGGAATCCAAAACTGAAATCGAGACTTTTTTCTCTTGGATATTAATTTGAAGAGATTGAGACAATTGATTTCCTCCTTGACGAAAAATATCAGCTGATCCATATTTGCCTTCTTGATATATTGTGATATTACCGGATGATAAGGTAACAGGTTCGCTATATGTGATGCTTATTTGTGCGATATTAGATGGAATAACGGCTCCGATTGTTGGAAATGTAATAACGATATTTGGATTTCGATAACGTTCATCAGCATCTTATTGTAAAATTAAATATATTAGGTAATTCGAAAAGGATATAAATCAATTATAATAAACAAGAAACATACTTGAAGCTTTAAACCTAGGAAATGTTTTTGTTATTATTGTCCAATTTTTAGCTGCTATTGTATCTTTTTTTGCAGCCCATATAGTATTACTCAAATAAAACGCACTTGAATGATTAGCAAAAGTTTCAAAACTCCATTTTTCTCTTAAGATACCATCACGATCCAGCATATAACCACCTGTCTTGTCTGTCTTTACTGCTTCATACATCACATATCCACCGTAGAAAAGTGGAAACAATAAATCCATTTGAAAACTAACATTTAATTTTTGTATGGCAATCACAGCACAGTAACTTCTAAACTGAATAATTGAATATATTTTAAGAGGTGTGTTTAGATCTGTTAATGTTGTATTATCAAGGCCATTTGTTTTATTACCGTTACCATCTGTGGTAATACTTGTATTCGTTGCTGTTGTATTCACAGAAACAGTACGATTCATCGATGCTATCATAAAACATTCATTTCCAGTTCCATCAAAAACTATTGCGCATCGCTGAAACTCCAGTTTTATTAGTTGTATAGGTGTCTGATACTGAATAAAAGGTTTTGTCGGAATCGAGCTGCCAGATCTCAAAAATGATACATATACAGTCCATTGCGAAAGCGTTGCATCCTGTAATTCTAGTGGACTTTGATATATATATCGGGTGACTATAATACAGCCAAATCCTCCATCAAGTAAAGTGAATGGTCTGTAATTAGCAATATTTTCATTTATGGATTTATTGTAAAAAGAACCTTCTCCGTCATCCGATATTTGGCCGTTGTCATCACTTTAGAATATATTTGTTAAGCTAATAACATTACAATTAATCTGAATTGATGAGTTACTTACGGCTTTGTGAATCTGTTCCATCCTATATTTCCATTAGCTGTTGAATGTTTAATGCACTACTAACAAATGAAACAATCAATGGAAATGTAAGTACAATATGTAGAACATTACATAGTAGTGGTTCTGTGGCACGAGTAGAACTGATGTAGAACATTACATAGTAGTGGTTCTGTGGCACGAGTAGAGCGGAAAAAGTTATATTTATCAGATATACCATATTTTTCGGCAAGTACCCCCTTGATAAAGTACCCTGGTACTAATCTCGGTTACAAATTGAGTAGAATGTAAAGTACCCCCTTCATAATTCCTGAAATTAGCATTATTCAGGCCAAAACTAGTGTAATCCGGGCCAAAATTACGACTTCCATGTTAATCATCCCCGTATAATATACCCTCCTCTTCACAAAGTACCCGGTGGGTACTAATCAATTTTTGAGTCCCTAGAATGTTAGAGACCCAGGGTACTAATTGACGAAAAATACGGTACATCATCAAAAATGACTTGACTTCTCAAATAAATATAAGGATTGGAAACTTGATGATTGGTACAAAGTTATATGATCTGATGAATCAAAATTTCAGATATTTGACCTGAAAGATATCAATATTATTAAAAAGCTCACATATTCAACCTACAATGAAGTTTTGTGGCAGTAGTATAATTATATAGGGATGTCATGGTTTTCAGAGTATTGGTTATCTTCATAAGATTGTTGGAACAATGAATGATGAATATTACCAGCAAATTCTTTTGGAATAATTTTTATTAATGTTTGATTTATATAATTTGAGGCTAAATGATATTATTTTTAAACAACATAACGATCCTAAAATGATGGAATGCTTCGCCAATAATTATGTGACTGTCTTAAGCTGGCCACCACAGTCATCCGATCTAAATACTATTGAAAATCTTTGGCGAAAAGTAGATCTTCATCTTCGTGATCTTCCAGATGTTATTTGAATAAGAATGATCTATGGAAAAAGATAGAAGAGGCTGGAATAATATTGATATTGACTATTGTAGTAATTTAATTAATACAAAGCTACAAAGAATTAATGATATAATTAAAGTGCAGGGAGATTATACAAGGTGGTAAAAACAATGTTTTGAATAATTGTTTATTTGATTAAACGAAAAATATTTCCATTTAAAAAATGGCAAAAAAACGCACCAGAATTTATGCGGATTAACGATTACTGCACATACGTAATTGGGCATAATAATATCAGTTCATTTTTTATTTATATATAAAACTACGTTAATTATCGCTTATCGTTATTTTATCATTTACATGCTTGTCGGATGATTGAAAATTGTGTGATTAAAGATCGATAATGCAAGTGGTGCATTATTTTTGCAGACAACTGTTCATGTATCTGACATGTACAATTTATAGCTTAGCCAAAAACAAACCACCCGCACAAAATTTCTTTTCTAGTGTACATGTATTTTGTTAGTATCGTATGTACTGTTATACTGGTAACACAGTCTCCTTTTAGAAACGCATTGTTTTTTTGTATTTCTTTATTTGTGTCAATCAATTCAAATTACACCGCAAATTACACCACAAATTACACTTCAATTTACACTGTAAATTCCACTGTAGTTAACACCGTAAATTACATCATAAATTACATCGTAAATAAGAAGCCCAAAAAATGTATATAAAGAGAGTGAGAGAGAGCAATTAGAGAATAGGCAGAAGAATTGGCAATAAAGCAATAAAAACTTTAAAAATATAATTACTTAATTGCGTACAATTAGTTTTATATGGTGCTCTTTCATCCTCCATCCCAATAATTAAATCATTACAACGAGGGATTTGCCACTTTGATCCAAAAAAAAAGTAAGATGAATATGATTTGAAGGGTATGTCACTTTGATCCAGAAAAGTGAGATAATTATTTTGATGATTATGATTTAAAAATTTATGCTTTTGGTCCAGAAAAAGTGAACACATTGTTAATATTTGTGAAACATGTAAACAAAACCAAATTGATAATTGAATACAACAATATCTGAAGATATTAGCACAGAATCTTGGAAAACTAATAAATAAAATAACTTTAGTTTTTAATTCATTTCTCTCACTCAAGTTACAGATTAGCAGCTAATTCCTATAATCAGCCACTAATCTGTAATATTTTGGTGTCACCCCTCTGTGAAAATCAACTCACCAACTGTGAATTATAAAAACTCAGAGACCAACAATGCAATGAAGCTATTAATCAAGAATCAAAATAAATAATGAAAAACAAATTATTCTATGAGAATATCTTGATAAAAATACTATAGACAATAATGATAATAGCCAAGATATCAAATGAAGGAATTAATGGAGACTATAGGAAAATATTATTATACAGAAAGATCAATAAAATAATTGACATAAAAGTTCTAACTCATCTTAGTGATGTCATAAATGCTAATCTCATTCAAAGATCCAAAAAAATTCTTATATTAATATGAAAATTCTGAGGTAAAAACCAAGATCCAGTTGAGTGACTCTGAGATTTTGAAATTATTGCTCAAGTTAATGGAATCATCAATGAATGAAAAATTCAAATTGTGTGGGACTATCTTGAGAGAATTACAACCACTTGATTCGATCAGAGACATATTAATGATAATTCTTAATTGAATAATTGAACAAATCAATAGCAGAATGAATATAATTTCAAATACCAATTTATCTTAAAGTTTTAGATTCACCAGAAAATAAAACAATGACAAGATAAACTTAAAACTCTGAAGCAAAAAGGAAATATTTAAAAATACATCAATTAATTCATCCAATTATTAAAAAAAGTTAATCTTGATAATAATTATTTAGATAAAGATCTATAAAAGAAAATTCAAGTCAAAAATTAAAAAGTATATTATTATAAACTATAATAGAACATTGAATAATATAATTGAAGTAATCAGAATAGTGGAAGAAGCAGACTCAGAATCACTAAAACAATCTTATTATTAGATATAAATAATCATTGTCATGGATCTAATCATTATTATTCAAATATTTCAGGATCTTAATAACTAACTCAATTGTATAAAAAATAACAGAAAAGAATATTATCTATCAAGAAATAATGATTAATCTCAAAGTTAACCAAGATACTAAAAACTTTTAAAATACTAATGCTGCAGACAAACCAAACATATTTAGTAATAATGTTTAATTATACTTGATATGAACAATCAAGAATTAAAATTTTTGACAAAATCAGTTTTTGCAAACAAATTAAAATATCATTCAAAATAATAATTCCAATATGACTGCAAATTCCACTCCTATTCAGATCACAAGTAACAATACCATAACTATAAATAGTGATACCACTCTTTTGACATAAATACAATTGATAATTGCTTTTTTACAAGCAATATTAACTATAATAATTACAGTATTAGTTGATCAATTCAATTTGACTCTTTTTGTAATATATGAATATCTTGAAAAATACTATATTGTTACAGTAATAATATAAAAAATTGCAAATTTAAAAATATGAAAATTCTAAAAATATTCATATAATAGTAGAATTCTTTAGTATTATTTCACTTTTGATTATTTTACTTTTTATTATTTTACTTTTTTGCTATTTCACTTTTTAGTTATTTTACTTTTTTATTTTTTATTTTATATATTATTTTACTTTTATTTTTCACTTTTATATATATTATTTCACTTTTTATTTTTTATTTTTATATATATTATTTCACTTTTTATTATTTTACTTTTATGATATTTCACTTTTTATTTTTTACTTTTATATATATTATTTCACTTTTTATTATTTTATTTTTATTTTTTATTTTTATTATTTCACTTTTTTGATATTTCACTTTTATAAGTTATTTCACTTTTATAATTAATTATTTCACTTTTTATATATTTTTATAGTTAGTTATTTTACTTTTTGTAATTTTAAAAAATATATAAATAGAGGTGTTATTTGAGTCTTGACTTGATATATTATAACTAAAAATAAAAATATTTCTTAACAAAAATCTTTCTTCAAATACTTTCTGTCTTTTATATTTTCTTTATACACTTCAAATCTTGTGTATAAGTGATTTTATATTGTATTGAATCTATTAAAATACTGATAGTTTTATATTATTGACTTTGAACTTTATATTATATTGTACTAAACAAATTAAATTATTAAGCTTTATATCATATTGTGCTAAACAAATTACTATATTAAAATTATTAAAATTGAATTATAAGTATTTTACTTTTTGTTATTTGAATTTTATATTATTAACAAATATTCTTATTTGTAAGAAGAACAAAGTGAAAAAGTTTTTGTTATTGTTATTACTAATTATATTATCTTAGTTCTAGAAAGCTTTACACAAGTACAGAATTATCTCTTTTGAATTTTTTTTATTATTTTTTTATATCCTCTCTCTCTTTTGATATTTATTCTCTCATAACTCTCCTATATTATTATTCTTTTTCAAGTAAATACAAATTCTGTAGAAATTGATATAGATTTTAAATATCTTTCTTTTCTCTTAATATTTTTTTTATCAATTTATATTCTCTTCTAATCAGATTTTTGTTTGTAAGCTAATTTCATGATTAATAAACAAATTGATAATATTTTGATATTTTCTCTATGGAATATTATTTTAAAGATTCTTTTTATATTTAAAATCTCTTTATAAATAATTATTATACCTTTATTGAAGAACCTATTAGTTCATATCTTAATACTCACCTAGAAATTCAACACCAAGAAATACCACTTTGAATTTCTTAATAATACTTCTGTTATATTAGCTTTTCATCTTTTGACACAATAACTGAACTTTTAGCTAATTTTTTTTATTTGAATTTAAGAATAAGATGCAATATCTAAATCTTTTATCATTAAATAACTATTTAAAGATATCTTTGAAGCAAATTTTGTTACTATCAGAAAAGAAGAATTAAGAAGATAAGTAATTTAACTATTAAATATCCTTATTTACTGAAACAAGTACACACTTAATCACTAATTATATATAGTCAAAACAATTCTTGAAGACTTTTATAACTTAGAATTCAGAGAAAATTCTAAAATATCTGACAGTTAATATTTTAAAACAACCAGCAATATCAAAATAATAGAAGACCAATAAATAATTATTAAAGA